CTTTAGTCGTTGTGATGTTATTTTAATAATGAAAATTATTATTTATTAAATGAAAAATAATAGTTATTAATTAGACAAAATATTATTGGAAATAGAACGTATTTAGACAGTAACGTTTGTTTTACAGCATTACGCGAAATGGATAAATGAAAGGAAATTAGTTTTATTAGTTTTGTTTAATGAAAAAGTATCTTTTGAACTGTTATGGTTTTTAGATGTTTTTGACACTATTTTTAATGAAAATTATTATTAATTAAATTATAGTATACATTCCAGTAATTTTTTTCAGCCTTATGCTAATTTTAAAGAATAAATGGGAGGAAAAATTATTATTTACACACCTTCATGACACTTTAAACTTGTTTTGCTTTTTTTTACTTCTTGTAACAATACTAGTCTCTCTTTTCAATGCATTTGCATTAAATGGGGGCTGAGACTTAAAGCTTTCAAAAGATTTATGCAAAAGCATAATAAAAGTATCATAAAAGTGTCGATATTACTATAACATATAACATAATATGTCCAAATTATGAATGCATCATTCTTTTGAGTTGAATCAAAGTTTTATTGTCAAGAGGAAAACGAGAAACAAGAGACCAAAAAATGCAGATGAGCTGAAGGCCACTGTCAAAGAAACCTGGGCTTCCATACCACCTCAGCAGTGCCACAAACTGATCACCTCCATGCCACGCCGGATTGAGGCAGTAATTAAAGCAAAAGGAGCCCCTACCTAGTATTGAGTACATGTACAGTAAATGAACATACTTTCCAGAAGGCCAACAATTCCCTAAAAATGTTTTTTCTATTGGTCTTATGAAGTATTCTAATTTGTTGAATTGGTGGGTTTTTGTTAAATGTGAGCCAAAATCATCACAATTAAAAGAACCAAAGACTTAAACTACTTCAGTCTGTGTGCATTGAATTTATTTAATACACGAGTTTCACAATTTGAGTTGAATTACTGAAATAAATGAACTTTTCCACGACGTTCTAATTTATTGAGATGCACCTGTACATAATTTACATCAGACTTTTCGGCCACACTTAAGAACGAGCAATACATTATGGGTACCTCTTAACCTCTGACATTAAGCTCACAGCTGATGCTTCCCGTCAATGGGCCGGATCTAAAAATGAACATCTCTTGGAGGAGTGTTTCTCTGTCAAAGCAGGTGATGCACCCAGGAGAGCGTCAGGAGCAGTGAAGAGAGACGGAAAGAAGCCCCCTTCTCTTCTTGTCACTCAGCGTTAGACGTGGGTGACACTGTGAAAAGTTGACGCTCTTACGCTGAGATGTGTTAGTATGTGTGTGTGCAAAACACGGGACACCTGTCACTATGTGGAGGGGCTAGAAAATGCCTCAAAATCTGGGCGTTGGAGGTTGAGAGTGCACCAGTCGTAATTGGCCATCAGGTCTTGATATGTGCACCTGGGTCCTGTCGCAGGAGCTCTGGTTCACAGCTGGAGGAGACAATGGTGTCATTACACCACCCAAATCCATCACACCACCAGATAACTCATAATAAGACTCATATGTCTCAGAAAGAATGCATATGCTTTTTACTAAGTGCATTTGACGACGGATGCATGCGGAAAACCCCTGAACACCTGCTGGCAGATATGTCAGAAATCTGGGCAGAAAAGCAAAGATAACCCACCCACGCTGAGAAAGATTAGTGTGCAGTGGATGGCTTCCACCATGCCAAGCACTTTTTGATTTATATGTTTGCATTGCAAAGTGCTATGCATTTCCACCAGGATGCTCTTGCACATGCAAAATAATAAGCATATTGTTTTCTGAGCTGTCTCGCGCTAGAGTTTGGGATGCTTTCAGTCTCTTGTTTGGACAAATCTGACATAGCCTTTGAGTTTAAGAACAGCAGTAACTCACTGCTTATCAAACCGAATGTGAATTTTTAAAGACGAGTTTCCATTAAAGAAATGCCAAAGGGGATGGGATCTGTCCCAGCCCAGCGAAAACATTAGTCACATCTCTTCTTGTTTTAGGGGGGTCTGGGAATCACGTCTATCATGGTTGCCCGTGGAGAAATACATGCACTGAAATGAATGAGAATGAATGAGAGTTTTATGTGCTTGATAGTGGTGTTGCACATAGAATGCTGTGTAAGGGGGCGTTTCATATGGAGGATGTGTTCTTTAGTGCTATTTTTCACTCAAGATGTGTTCCTGTCTTCCTTCTGTGCATGTTTTTAATTGTGTGTTTATATCAGAGCCAGAAATTCAGAAAATGCCACAGAATTGTTCATATATCTGTAAGGGGCAAAAACAATGATTCATTCAGGAATGAAACAATTGTGATGGTCTTTATGAATCATTAGTCACTGAGTCATTAGTTTAAACGATTCTTTCCAAGAACTTATTCATTCAGAAACGACGCTGTGTCTGAATATGCCTACTTCTATACTATATTGACCTTATGTAGCCACGCCTCTTTTTAGCACCCCATTTGTTGTCTTCCGGTTGTATTTCCACAGTGATCTCACGAATTTATGAATGAACCGCTCATTTTAAAACCTCACTGGTCTACTGACATTTGTTACGACATTTGCTTTATACATTACAGTGCTCACGATAACTTTCGTAAACTCTACAATACATAAATCCACTTTACCAGCTAAATTACTCTTAGACAGCGATGCCATAGAAATATACAGAGCTACCGCACAAACGGAAGTTCAAAGGAATGCTAAAAAACATTAGCCGATGTATGTTTGAATTCGATGCACACTTTACTATGAAACCACGGGAGAGGATTTGTGAATGGCAGTGAAGTGACGAAACTCGCAATTGATTATTCTACAATTAATTGTACTATTAATTATACTACAATTGGAAAATACTGTAAATTGATCAACTGTTCGGCGTGATGACGTTTAATGTCTCTGACAGCATTTAGCAACTTGTTAGCAAACGTCTTTTTAAAGAAACGTAACAGTTTTAAAAAATCACGAGTGTGGTGTAACTGGTGTGTTTTATGTCACAGAATAAAAACGTGAAAGTATCTTGAGCTTGTGTGAACCGCGGAACTTATTTTAGGGGATTTAACCAAAATCCCCAGAATTGACTCTGAGGACGATGAAACCGGAAGTGCTAAAATGCTAACTCCCTTCCGGGTTTTTGCCTACAAAGTGACATCATAGTTCCACCACTCTATTCAGTTATGAAATACATTTCAAACTAAATATAGTACATGCTAGACAGTGTGCGATTTCGGGACACAGCTCGAAAGTTTTATGGGTGGGTCACTGAGATTCAATACTAATTTGTTCAGGAACACTACTGCTGCAACAAAAGGTTTAAGTTGCAAGTTGCTCAGTGTTAACTCCTTGTTTATTGAACTGCTGTAGGCCTATACGCTGAAAAAAATTGGTGGTGAAACAATTTTTTACTCAGAAATTACTAATAATTTCTCAGATAATTACATTAAAGGAGACATATTGTGTCCCTTTTTACAATATGTAATATAAGTCTCTGGTGTCCCCAGAATGTGTCTGTGAAGTTTCAGCTTAAAATACTCCACAGATCATTTATTATAACATTTTGAAAATGCCTCTTTTGAGTGGAAGCAGAAATACGCTGTTTTTCGGCCTGTTTCTTTAAATGCAAATGAGCTGCTGCTCCCCGCCCCCTTTTCCAGAATAGAGCTGGGACCTGCTAAAAACATCTGTTTTGGTTCTGATTATCATGTTTATCGTGCTGAAATCATGCGTTTTAAACCATATGAGTTTAAACTTCTGCTATACGGTTTTCTGAGCGCACACGGACAGAAAGCGGCTGTCACAGCATGTGAGTACTACACTAAGTTATCATTCACACATAAGTTTAAATTAAAAACCCACACGAGTTACAAAAACAGTCGGTTATGTCTGTGAAGGTAAACTGCTGGGAAATTAATCACATGTTTATTTTAGATCTGTGTGGCAGCAGCAATTAAACATTTAATTGCTAAATAAATCAATAAATCCACTGCTCTGTTGTCTCCTCTGAGGCTGGGACTCTAAATAGTGTTCTGTGCTCATCTGTGCAGCCAAAGACATAACAGTTAGCATGTTTTGCTCAAACTTTCGCCATGGCATTGGAGCTGGTACACCGTTGTCGCTTGCAAAATCAAAATGATGGCACCTTGGGTGGAAACTCACAGATTAAGGGGTGGTAATATTATAATAAGGTCCCTTTGCAACGTCACTAAGGGAGCGAAATCAGACACGCTCGTTTTCTCAGATGCTTGCAGAAAAAGGCTTACCAAAACAAAGTTACTGGGTTAATCTTTTTCACGTTTCCTTGGTTGATATATGCACCAGGGACTTGATTATAGCACTTAAAACCTGGAAAAGTCAGATTTTCATGATATGTCACCTTTAAAACAACAAGAAACACATTGAGTTAAACATAATACTATTTGAAATAACAATAGCCTACAGTACATGAGACTTGTAAAGACATACTCCAAACTGGTTTGATTTAATGAGCAAACGTTCCGAGTAAATGTTTAAAAAAATTTAATAATTGTATTTATTTTTCATAATTCAATTTTAATCATTCAAAAAATGTAATGTAAGTTTTTGACATGTGCCTAGTTTTTTTTATAGGATTAAAAATAAATATGCTCATGCAAATAATATTCATGTTCAGTAAATATCGCGTTTTAAGTGAGCGCCGCAAGCCATCCTGCCAGGTTAAAAACAAGCAGAGCAACTTTTCAAAACGCTCCGTCTAGCAGTTGAACGCAAAAACGCGCCCTGTGTGAACGCCTCCCAACACCTGCGGCGTGAAATACCTCGTGGAGATGATCGAGCAGCAGTTTACACTCCGACTAAATATAGATTCGTCGCGGGGGAACCCGGACACCGCGCCTCCCCACGCACAGCACAGCTCAGCTCGTTTATCTGCATGTTGTGATTAACTGGAAAGTTTGATTATATCGATGACATCTTTTCCAGTTTTTTTAAATATTAGATTTTTTGCCACAGGAAAAAAAACTGGATTTCTTAAGAGAAAAAGACCGTAACCTTCAACTACACACGCGTAAAGCGCATTTTTAACTCATTGTTCTTGACAGTGCGCACACGCTGTCCAACAAGTGCGTGCTCGAGGCTCACCTGCTGTGTCTTAAGAAGCGATTGAGGAGAAAACAATCATATGGAGATCACTGTCTAACGACCTGGAGATCGAATCGTTGCACGCAACCTCGCCAAACACGCACATGCTTTGTCGCATTGATAAAAATGCGCGTTTGTTTCATGCGCGTCGTGTGAGCTGGTGGATTATGAGGATCTGCTAGTTTCCCCGCCGATGGAGCCGCCGTAATTCATTGTCTTTGTCATTTTTACAACAAACTAAAGACCGGGCGGTTTGCTTATATTGTGAAGATCCAAACCCAAAAGCCTTTACATCTAGACCACCAGTGACCTGTGAAGACTTGCAAATCCCTACACCTGGTTTCTTGGAGGGGGCTGCGCAATTGCGCACGCTGCGAGAGTATACCATCGGACCTTTCCATGGAATCCACTCCACGCGTGATCTCCAGTGAGGGGTTCAGTCCGATCTGCTGTGGGGTAAAAAGTTGCCGCCTGGACAGTAAATCTCATATATGAGGATCAATACACACGTGCTGGTCAACATAAATTGCAAAAATGCCTATGCATCCTGTGACTTCCACTTTGATGTACCGGGGGATCTGCACCATTCCTGATATCCTGTCGTACCGGGCACCGGTCAACCTTCCTGAGGATGAGGTGGAAGGTGAGTGAGAGGGTCCAGGTGTTGTTTGAAGCCCATTTTCTCTTGCATTTTATATTAAAACGAATACATTCTTACTAATTCTTTCATTACTTTAGTGTATTTCGACCTGTTCCCTGGACAAAAGGTCGGTGTTTTGCGCACCTTTTGGTGACCTGAATGACCCAACTTCCACTTAAAATATGTTGTAAGTGAACAGTGAAGCGAAACACTTATTTTTTATGTTTAGTTAGAACAGTTGGAAGGATTCAGCACCACGCACAAGGCACAGCGCAGTTCACTTAAAACGCGTGAAAATCCCGTTACCTGTGCCATTGTTTCCATTTCTATGAGGTGGATACATCTGATGGTGTGATTTATGGAAAGTAGGTCTATCACAAACCAGCAGAAAGACCTGTGAGTGGTATGCTGCAGTTCTGGGATCTCTTCGACTTTAAACTTTTTCATGATGTGCATGTGTGAGTAAATTAGAAGTGCATCCAAATATAAAGGAACATAATTTCGTAAAGGAAATACTATTTTTGTTTTTTTTTAGATTATGAAACATATTAAACTAAAGATGCATATTCAATTCAACAGAGTATTTCCATAGCACGGTTTCCCATTTGTGTCGGAAAGTTTACTCTGATGAGTATCCTACTGTATATAATCGTATAAAAACAGAAGTAGTCACACGTTTAGCTTTTCTGATTAAAATGATGGTTTGTGAGTAGGTCTCTCATAAGCCAGCAAAAAGACCTGTGCGTGATACGCAGCACTAATGTGCACATCTCATTTGCAGTGACACCTGTCTCAGTGACACAGTTTTTAATACCATGCCATAAAACCAACACTTTTAATTTTTAGAATATGAAACATATGGTATGGAATACCATATGCAAATGAATAGACTGGTTGATTTATACATATACTATTACCCCAGTGTTTCCCAATGCATGGAATATCCCTAACACATTTTGGATCCCTGAATATTTTGGATGACTCTCTTAATTAACACACTTGGTTTATATCATCAGCTCATAAATAGTGGCACCAAGACCTGAACTGGTGTGTCAGATAGAGAGGCATCCAAAATGTGCAGTGCTGTGGACCTCCAGGATCAGTATTGAAAAACAACTGGTTTACCTTGATAAATATTCAATTAAATAAAATCATTAAAATGTCATTTTAACTCGACACATTGTGGTCTACATGATCAATACCAGCAAAATAAATGGCTTTTTATTTTAAAATGTAATTTGAACTAGCCACAGCATGCTCAATATAGAAAAAATGAATGTCTTTTTATTTAACAAAACAAAAGAACATGCTGTTCTTTTTGACAGAGTATTTCCATAGCACGGTTTCTCATTTGTGTCGGAAAGTTTACTCTGATGAGTATCCTACTGTATATAATCGTATAAAAACAGAAGTAGTCACACGTTTAGCTTTTCTGATTAAAATGATGGTTTGTGAGTAGGTCTCTCATAAGCCAGCAAAAAGACCTGTTCGTGATACGCAGCACTAATGTGCACATCTCATTTGCAGTGACACCTGTCTCAGTGACACAGTTTTTAATACCATGCCATAAAACCAACACTTTTAATTTTTAGAATATGAAATACCATATGCAAATGAATAGACTGGTTGATTTATACATATACTATTACCCCAGTGTTTCCCAATGCATGGAATATCCCTAACACATTTTGGATCCCTGAATATTTTGGATGACTCTGTCTTAATTAACGCACTTGGTTTATATCATCAGCTCATAAATAGTGGCACCAAGACCTGAACTGGTGCGTCAGATAGAGAGGCATCCAAAATGTGCAGTGCTGTGGACCTCCAGAATCAGTATTGAAAAACAACTGGTTTACCTTGATAAATATTCAATTAAATAAAATCATTAAAATGTCATTTTAACTCGACACATTGTGGTCTACATGATCAATACCAGCAAAATAAATGGCTTTTTATTTTAAAATGTAATTTGAACTAGCCACAGCATGCTCAATATAGAAAAAATGAATGTCTTTTTATTTAACAAAACAAAAGAACATGCTGTTCTTTTTTTCTACCACCACCATGCAAGGCTTTAGGTATAGGTTACATGTGAAATGCAAACTATAATCCGCTCAGTGTAATCAGATTGCATCCAAATCCCATGCATGTTGACAAAATTTTAAATCAATCTATTATTTAATTGCAAAAGTATAAATGTTTGTAATGTAGGGGTCTGTAATGTCAAAATGTGCCATCAAATGCATTCATTCAGATGAGTTTTTCCATTAAACCTTGTATATTGACGTCTGACTGGTGTGATTGTCAGCTCAGTTCAAAGTGTCTTTCCAGATCAATCTTTTGTGATTAAGCTTTAATTAAGTATCTCAGCACCTCATTGCAATTCTATTCATCAAGGGATGTTTTCTATCAGTGCATCCAGTTAAATAAAATACAGCCCAAATTCTCAAGGCCGATTCTCATGCTCTTAACCCTTGAAAACCTGCTGGACTGAACTAACACAAGCTAAATGGAGAGAAAGTGCAAGACGTGAGGGGCCACATATGGATGTTTCCTGTAGTACATGATTGTGTGCGTTCTGTATATACACAAACATCCATGTGTGAATGTGACAGTCAATCTATTTGCAAATGTGGCTGCGTGTTCACAAATGACAACTGTGCCGCATGTGGTCACCCCAGATCATATGTGTAGCATATCCACAGAGATGGAAAACAGAGAGTAAATATGAGGAGACAAATCACTGGGTTTCATCCTCATAACATTTTTATACAGATTTGTTCAGCGAATAGAAATGTAGCTCATGGACTAAGTTGTTGGTGCAGTTGTGCTCACACTTATGTAGTAGGCCATGTTCATTCTTGTCCTTAGGATATATAGTTGTTTATTTGTGAATCTTGAATTTGATATTTTGCTTTGAACTCGTATGACACGCCGGGGGCAGAAACTGAGATGTAATTTGTGAGCTAGATCCGTGCATCTTTATTTTAGTTAGCAATATTTCATCATAAACCCATCCTTATTCAAAATGAGGATAAGAGCCTCAGCTAAAGCTCGAAGAATTCATTAATATTCTCAGATGAAGATTGCTTTAAGTCTGGTTCATCTAAAAGACATTATCTCCTGACTGTATGCTCACACACTGGACATCTTAACCCGCTGATAACGTCCTTTAAAGGATTAGTTCACACAAAAATGAAAATTCTGACATCATTTACTTGTTCCAAACCCGTATGACTTTTTTTCTCAGTGGAACACTAAAGGAGATGAATGGAGAATGAAGCTTTCACGCTTTCCACTTCATCCAAATGGCTTGTTGTGTGCTATATTCCAAGTCTTCTGAGGCTGTACAAAAGCTTTGTGTGAAGAACAAACTGCAATACGAGTCATTATTCGCTGATAATCCTCCGTTCCAGTGGGTTGTTAACCACAGTGACCGAATCAAGTCAGTGAGTTGAATGCAAGACTCGAATGAGTCGGATTAGTGAATGAATCTTTTATACTTGTTTAGTGAACTGGATCAATTGATTCATTGAAAAGGTCTGGAAATGTACTCATCTTCACGCCATCCAAGATGCAGATGAGTTTGTTTCTTCATCAGAACAGATTTGGAGAAATTTAGCATTACATCACTTGCTCACCAATGGATCCTCTGCAGTGAATGGGTGCCGTCAGATTGAGAGTCCAAACAGCTGATAAAAATAATCCACAGATAATCCAGTCCATCACTTAAGGTCTTGTGAAATGAAAAGCTGCATGTTTAAAAGAAACAAATCCATCATTAAGGTGTTTTTAACTTCAAACTGCAAATACAAGTTATATAATATTGCTTTCTCCAGTGAAAAAGTTGCTTCGTCTGAATCAGGAGAGAAATATACACAGATCAAGCACCATTGAAAACAGTCAAAAATGTCAGGGATTTTGATGTGAGAGGACAACTGGAGATGGACTTGTTCACTGGAGGAAGTGTTATGGATTATGAACTCGTATTTTGGCCAGAAGCAAAACGCCTCAATGATGGACGTGTTTATTACATACCACCCTGAGTATGTGGTTTCTGCTTAGGTGTGATTGTAGTAGTTCCTACATTTTTAAAATACATTTTAGTAGTTACTGGTCAATCTTGAATTGTTGATAAATATTTGTATGTAAATTTCACATTCAAATTCATTGTTACTTCCCTCACAAGGACGAATGGCAAGACTTTCATTGGATAACAGCTTACATTTCAGTTTGTTCCTCATGCACATATTTTAAATGTAGCGGAAATGTCACTTTTATGATGTGTTTTTGTCATTATAAAGACTGGCCAGAATGTTCTATAAAACTCACATTTGTCACCCTGGAGCACAAAACCAGTCATAAGTAGCACGGGTATATTTGTAGCAATAGCCAAAAACACATTGTATGGGTCGAAATTATTGATTTTTCTTTTATGCCAAAAATCATTAGGACATTAAGCAAAGATCATGTTCCATAAAGATATTTTGTAAAGTTCCTACTGTAAATATATCAAAACTTAATTTTTGATTAGTAATATGCATTGCTAAGAACTTAATTTGGACAACTTTTAAAGGCGATTTTCTCAATATTTGGATTTTTTGCACCCTCAGATTGCAGATTTTCAAATAGTTGTATCTCAGCCCAATATTGTCCTATCATCACAAACCATACATAAATGGAAAGCTTATTACTCATGTATAAATCTCAAATTTTAAAAAATTGACCCTTATGACTGGTTTTGTGGTCCAGGGTAACATTTATTGTTCAGAGTTTGTTTTTATTTAAAAGATAAGTACGTCTTTTACCCATCATTATTCACAAGAAATAGAATGCCGCTTTTTTGTTGGAGTTTTTTCACTATGAACCAGTGACCCATATGATTCACATGAACTGAATAAACATCCATTATCGGTAAGGCTTTCAGCAAATGCGCATTCACTACAAACCAGCAGTCTCACGGCTTTGTGAGAGTGAAATTCAATTCATGTCCAGGGTCC